AGCTGCAAGTGGGATTTTTAACTACTGCTCCTCAATTATGGATTACTGTTATCCTGCTCCAGCTCCCTGTGGGTTACTGGGTCATTGCTGGAGTTCTGAACACAAGCAGAAGAGGCTGGAGAGCTGGTGGCAGAGAGATCAGAGCTGGTTTGGTGTGCTGCTTGGCGACTGTGGATCCCATTCTGCTGGGTATGAGCTCTGAGCTCTGGGTTTGTCCTTGCTGTGCGTTGGTGGCGGTTTTGCAAAGGGCAGAACCCTGAGACAGGGTGGCTGCAGCTCCCAGCACAGCCCGGTGCCTGCAGGTTACCCTGCTATTGCACAAGGGTGTGTTTACATAAAGGTGACGCCTGGACTGCTTCCATCTCCAGGCTGGCACTGTGCTCGCTTGAAATTTAAATCAGCCTTGCTTTGGCAGGTGAGCGTGGAACAGGCTGGGCAAAGGCGGTGCCAGGGGATCATGGCCTGGCACACACGACACCTCTGACCGCCCAGTGACCTTGAAACCGAGCCTGCTGCCAGGGCGGGGTGGCAGCGGGGTGACAGCGGGGTGACAGCGGGACAGCGGGCAGGTGGGAGGACAGAGACACAGCGGGGAAGCTCTGACAAGGAGCAGGAAGCAACCGAGGGCCTTGCTTTACTCAGCTCAGAAATGTGCAAGATCCCACCTAGTGCCCAGCCACGCTTGACCCTGTTCACAGAGGTACTTGTGTTTTATATCTCCTTCTTGTAGCACAGTTGAGAAAGGTGGAAACTGAAACTGTTTTCTTCTGTTCCCTAAATTATATCAACTACATCCAGAAAAGCAAGTCATGAGCTTGCTTGCAATTTTGCATAGGAATTTGGATGGATTAAGAGGCTGGGGTCATGACGAAGTTACTGCTGAAAAATTAAAGCAAGGAAATTCAGTGCTTGCTGCTTTAGCTCTTAATCCCTGCCAAAAGGTGCAATATCCATTTGAATCTGACAGAGCAGCTGGTTCTGCACTGGGGCACCAGCACACAGAGATGCCCCAGACAGGAGGAAGCCTGGGTCAGTTCCACGTGCCCAGAAAGTGATTTGCAAAGCAAGTAGGTGAGGAGAAGGCAGCCTCCAGGCAGGACAGAGTGGACTAAGCTATGGGCGAGGTGCCCACTACATCCCTCTCGACAGCATAACAAAGGCACTCAGACTGTCTTGCATCGCCCCTCCAGCTGTAGGCAGGCACAGCAGGGAGTGCTGTAGTGCTGGACCAGAACAGACAGCACAGACAGTACTGAGTACACAAGAGCCCAGGCTGTGATACTCTGGAAGTTACCTCCCACTCCATTCACATCAAAAGCTGTGTTTTACTCTGAAGCACAAGTGTGCCTACTCGAGAGGATTCAGCTGGTGTCTTTGTCTTGCAAAGGAAAGAGCACTGCTCACCACCACACCTCACTCTCTACCAGCACCCTGGAAATGCAGAGGCATCTGCACTGCAGGGGTGAAGAGGTGGGGAACATTTCCAAAGACAGAAAAGACACGGATCTGCAGTGAGGAGCTGGTGCTCCCAGTTAATGAATACAGAAAGGGTGTCTCACCTTGTCAGAAGACCTGGCCCTGCAGGAGTGTCTGTGGTCCCGTGAGCATCCCAGGAGCACAGCCCCAGCCCAGAGCCCAGCTGAAAGCCCTGCCTAACCCAGCTGGCCCAGGGATGCTGCAGCAATTTGGCTGGTCCTGATCAGCCATGGGCACTTGGAGTGACACCACTTCCAGGCAGGATGTGATGCTAAGAGAAGGACGAGGCCCTATCCAGTTTCAAATACACTTATTGACCACAAAACCTTGTTAGGCTCCTCAACTAATGCAAAATATTCTGGAGTTCATGGGCTGTCATGCTATCATTGCACATGTTAAGTTGGTTCCAGTGAACTGTTTAGTCTATTAGAAGCAGATGTTGCAGGTGAAGGAGATTCCAGTGCCCCAGCACTGATTGCGTGCAACTCGTTCATTTACATTTGCAAATGTTGCAACAAATAATCATTAGTAGATCAGTAATCTCTTTTAAAAATGTTTTTTAAAAAGCAGCATCCTTCTGGGGGAGCCAAAGCATGGAGCTAGACTGAGCAGGAGACAAGGAGCCACAAGCAGGACAGCTTGGGAGGAGAGGTGGGTGCTTGCACTTCAGAAGCTCTTTCAGCTGGCACTCATTGCCTTGACATCAGTCATTTACAGGCATCAATAGAGGATGCAAAACAAACAGACAAGACAGACACCAAACTCTGCAAAATAGGTTTATTTTTCAATTTGAACCAAATAGAGTTTGTATTTATTGCATGAATCACATGCAGGTGAATACTATAAAAATACCTGTGCAGCATTTATATATTTATAAAATCTTCATAGCATAAAATAGCTGTGAATCAGAACGGAAATTTTACACATAAAGCTGAATGAATGTCCCTGTCAAACTATGCCTTTCTTGGGAGTAATTCCAACCCTCAGCTTAAATGCTCACCTTGCTGCTTTTTTTTCCCATTTTGTGATGTGGCCCCTCTGCAGGGCTCCAGTTGTGCACTGCACCTGTGTGTCATACAGCACTGTTAACACAAGGGTTTTAAAGGTGTTTTAAACCTGATGGCAGCGCTTCTGTGGTGTATGGGAGGGAGAGAGGCTGAGGATGGAGACCATGGCTGTGGTGGCCCCCGTCCAGCACTCACCCAGGGGCAGTGTGAGTGGCCTTGTGCCCTACTGAAAGGCTCGCTGGAGCTGTTTGCATGCACCTATAAAGTCCACACAACCTGATATAAAACAGTTTATCCACAGCCTGAGCAAATCTAAAAGTGGTTAAAATTTCTGCCTGCATGTCTTCTGGAAATTGGCAACCTGGGTTTAGAGTGGCAGGGCTCTTTCACGTGCATGCCTTGCACTCCTCAGACACAGCTCCCAGCTACAGTTTTGGAATTGATGATGCTTATCCAGACAGTCAATGGAAGGCAAAGCACCTCCTTTCCATTCTTCAGGCTCATTTTTCTCGCAGCCAGGAAGACAAGTGGACATGGTTAGAAAGCTGGCTCTCACTGTACATTCTGCCAGGCAAGGCACAGGGGCCATGCTGGAAGCTCTGCAGCAGGAGCACAGGACATTTTCCTAGCCAAGCAGACCGTGTTCACTGCTGTAATTCTCAACAGCTCATTGGTCCAACAGCTGAAATACATTGTTTTAAATAAGCAGCATGAGTTATAGGGATGACCTTCCCATGGACACAGCTCCCTGCTATTCTACAAGTGTACACGGGGTTCCAGGATGCATGGAAGACCAACTGCGATGTTGTGCAGCAGCAGAAAATGATGGCATCTTGTCATTGTCACACGCTGTAGTCACCAGAGCCACTACTCAGCTCCTTCCACAGCGCAGTTTATGGACTCTCCTTGCCAGCCTGCACGACAGGAAGGATTTTTTCCTTTCCCCTAGCCAGGGGAACTAAATTGGAGTTAAACAGTTTGAACTCAAGCCTCAGTGCTGTGATAAAAATTCTGCTCAGTTGTTTGTAGGCAGAGGATCTTTTAGTGGAGGCTTTCTTATTAATATCCAAGGCAAATTTGTTGCAAAGCACATTAAACATCTTGTGTTAGCTTTTCCTTCTCTTTTATATTTTGGGTTTGGTTTTTTTTTAGATTTTAATAATGAGTAAATCTATCCCCACAGAACTAGCCTCATCTGGCAATGACATCAGAAGACACCATGAGCTCTGCCCAGTGATGGCACTTTGCTCTTGCCTGGTCATCTTTCCCCCCACCCTGCCAGCCACTTTTTCCCTGATGCCCCAAACCTGAGCCCTGCCCTGGCTTGCTCTACTGCTTCAGGAGCAGCCCCACAGGCAGAGGCACATCCCTGCTTCCCAGCAGCCCCAACCCCACAGCAGAACAGCCATTGCTGCTGCTTTGGCAGGGATCTGGGCTCTGTGCTTGTCATATTTAGTTGCCTGGGCAAAGGACATCTAATTATGGGACACAGTGGGGTCAGTGATTTCTAACCCAAAGTTATCTGTGCACAGCAATTCCCATGACTCCTCCAAGTCAGATATTTTAGGCCATTACTTTTGTATTTGTGTGGCAAGGGCATGGCAATGGCAGGGAGTGGCTATAAGGGTGACTTCTCTCAGAAGGTGCCAGAAACTTCCCCTGTGTCCAACAGGACCAATGCCAGCTGGCTTCCAGGCAAATCCACTGCTGGCCAAGGCTGAGCCCATCAGTGACAGCAGCAGCACCTCTGGGATAACAGAGTTAAGAAGGGAGGAAAAACCTGCACCACTGTGGGCAGACAGAGGAGTGGAGATATAAGAGAAAAACAACTCTGCAGACACCAGGATCACAGAAGAACGAGGAAGAGATGCTCTGGGTGTCAGAGCAGAGATCCCCTGCAGCCCATGAAGGTCCATGGGGAGCAGAGGTCCACCTGCAGACCCTAGAGGAACCCACACTGAAGCAGGGGGCCTAAGAAGGGTTTGACAAGCAGGCTGAAACAGGCTCCTGGAAGGACTTTTGATCCCTCAGGAGACCCATGCTGGATAAAGAACTGCAGCCCATGGAAAAATTCACATTGGAGAAGTTTTTGGAGAGCTGTGTTCTGTGGGAGACTCCATGCTGGAGTAGGGGAGGAGTGTGAAGGGTCCTGCCCTGAGGAGGCAGGAGCAGCAGCATGTGATGAACTGACTGCAACCTCCATTCCCATCCCCCTGTGATGGTGGGTAGGAGGAGGTAGAGACTTTAGGAGGGAAGTTGAGCCTAGGAAGAAGGGAGGGATAGGTGGAAGGTGGTTGTAATGTTTGGTTTTATTTATTATCCTACTCTGATTAGTTTGGTAATAAATTAAACTTATTTCCCCAAGTCAAGTCTGTTTTGCCTGTGACAGTAAAACTGCTGAGTGACTCTCCCTGCCCTTGTCTCGAGCCGTGATCCTCTCGTTATATTTTCTCTCCCTGGAGAGAGGGGAGTGATAGAGCAGCTTTGGTGAGCACCTGGCATCCAGCCAGAGCCAAACCCACCACAGCAGTGCAGAAAGGCACAAACCCTTTGTGGTGCAGTGCCCAGCCTGGACGGTGGTGTCTCTGAAGGGGGGGTGCCACGGGCGAGCAGGAGCTGTGCTCACAGCAGTCCCAGCAGCCCGTGCAGCAGCGGCACGACCACGGTGGCCGTGAAACCAACGCAGGAATATGTCACAAACTTATAGGGCACCTCCACCTCCCGGCGTCTGCGGGCTGCCAGGTCCCCCACGGGGAACTTGTACCGATAGCCCAGCATGCCGAGGACCAGGCTCTTCATGGCCCAGCGTGTCAGCAGGACAACCAGGATCCCTACGAGGAACCTGGCCAGCACAAACACCATTGCACGGGTGATCAGAGCAAAGCCAGGCTGAACGCTTTGGCTGGTGTAGGCTGAAGCAGAGTACTGGTTGTTTAACCAAAATCCCACAGTCGCTCCAGCTGCTGCTCCCAAGATCGTAGTGGTGTCTCCCCTGGTGGGGCTGTAATAGTCTAGTTTGGGGTAGTTGTAGCACAAGACAAGAGGCACGGCTATGGAAAACAGTGGGCAGAAGGGGCTGGTTAACAGCAAGTGATCTATTGTGTCCCACGCAGGATACAAGAGCACGAGCAGCCCAGCCGAAATCAGTGCTCCTCCAATCACATCCTGTAAAGAAATCACATTTAGAAGGCTTTGTGAGGCCCGGAAGGTAAACCAGGTAATTTGGGTGATGATAAAAGAGTAGTATCTGCGTTGGTGGGGCCAAGCAGTAGAGGAACACCCTGAATCCAGTGATGGCATTATCCACGTGCAGGCACAACCTGAAGCCTGTGCTGAACAAAACATGACAGTGTACAAACCCAGCCTTAGCCTATGCATATGCACGTGTCTGTGGACACACATTCTCCTCCTGCTCTCATGTTTTGAGGGCATTCTCCACCTAGGCCCTCGGAAAAGGCACATGCACAACTCCATCTCAGGGACAGCATGGCAGTGAGCTGCCTTCACACAAACCCTGTCTCTCCTCTAACCCTAGGAGCAATTTCATCACATCACTGTGATTATCCCCAGCTTGCTTTGCATAAAGGGGGAGATGCTGTCCTTTGTCAGGGACAGGCTCCCATCCCAGAAACACAAGCTCCAGGGATGGAAAGTGCAGAGCTGTGGGATGTGGTGCGTGTGCCTTGGTTTCTGCCAGCAGGGAGGGAGGCACCTCCGGGCAGGGATATAGCAAGGAGAAATTTGTTGCCCAAGTCTCTGAAATCCAGCTTTCAGTACAGTGCCTGAAGCAAGCATATAGTTAAACCCTAATTTATTAACAGACGTAAATAAGGTGTTTTGAGAACTTGATTGTTGTCAGCCACAAAGCTGAGAAAGGAGACAGGAGGCAGCCCCTAACAAAAGCCATCTGTATGAGAGCAGACAGGTAAAAAGCAATAAAATAAGTTTCCCTGTGCTGCCCTTGCAGTGTCACGTAGAGGCAGCAGTGTCAGTACAGCCACAAAATGCCCTGCAAAAGCTGAAGTTAGTCACAGACAGAAATATCCTCTTCTAAGGTTGTATGTTTTCCACGAGTTGTGACAGCTGACTACTGCCATGCTTGGTCACACTCTGAAAATTATTTATGTGAGCTTCACTTTAAGTTAGGCAGGAATGAGGGGAGTTTTTCACAACAGAAATATTTAATGACATTCTGGTAAATGCATTACTCCTGTATGGCTGAACTTCAACAGTTTACAAATTCCATTAGATTCACAGCATATTTGGTTTTAAACAACTCTTACCTATAGCCATTTTGCATATTCCTAATACAAATTTCCGTTTATTCCTTGATCCAAAACATGAGGCTAGCCATGGAAATACACAAACTTGATCATAGATGTCTAGTATGTAAAATATCATTATACTATATACCTTTACTTCACAGTAATTCATGTTTTGATGTCAATTTTTAGATGATACCTTTATACATAAAGCATGTTTTGGCCCAACACTAAGCAACAGCCTCAGCACAAAAGAGCTGGGGGCTGCTCCCAGCACTGATGCTCGGAAATCCCATCCCCACTCTGTACCTCCACACAGATGTTTGTCCATCCCATGTTAGAGGAAAAAGCCCTCGATATCCTTCTATGGGTGATCAAGGAACAATACTCAAAAGCTGTTCACATGCTTTTCTGTTCCAATTAAAGAACTGCAACCAAACATTAACATTTCCTCACAAAAGCTTTGCTCAGATTTACCCACAGCTGACTCCAGCAGTTCCCAACCCAGTTACAAACAGTCCCTATTTACAAACCTGATTAAAGTTTCCTGAATTTCATCCTCCCATTCAGCCCCAGTACAGTAACCAGGACCCAGACAATCAGCTCCACCCCTGACCAGTGGCATTGTACCTGTGGCCTCCAAACTGGGTGCACAAAGCAACCCATGGGGCTGGGGGGAGAAGATACTTTTTGCACTGCTCATAAATAAAAGGTGCATTTAAAAAAAGTAGTGCTTATTTCATCATTATCTTATATTTGTTAATTTTGTGTTTTATAATGTATGTATCAGTACAGTAGTACATGTATACAATTCATAAGTAAATATATATATACATACATATATATATATATATATATATGTATATGGTGCCAGTGGTTTATTCTGTTTTCTTCCTATCCACCAATATCTGGGCTTCTCATTTTGGAAACTCCTCACTAGAAGCGGCTGCAGAGCTCAGGATATGTGATGGCTCCCTTCAGTCCTGGTGTGCATGGGCAGGTTTGATTTTTTTGAACACCCAGAGGAGTGGGGCAAGATCCAGCCCAACACTTACATTTAGCAGTGCAGAATTAATGATTTCCCCCTTTGCCCGTTAAACTAAGGGGAAGATGGGAAGAGGAGGGATGGCTCGGAATACCTGCTGTGCCCCCGGAGCAGGACCCGAGTTTTTCCCGGGGGTGGAGCAGCTCTTAGCACACCCAGGAAGCACATTCCTGCCTGTCTGCCTGTGTAAACAGATTAGCCTCTCGCCAAGCCCGCAATTATAAAGGAATTTTTAAATAAGGGCAGGCTCGGATTTTGCTCAAGGTGCAGCACTACCTGCAAAATGTAAAATCTCCGGTGGCCCTGCTGGGATGCTCCAGCTCCCTCGGCACAGACAAGTCCTCCCCAGGCTCCTCTAAAGCCCCTCCACTGCTGAACAGCTCAGCCCTGCTCCTACACAGCACCAAACATCTGCCCTGCCTCCCTCATATTGCCAGTCCAAGCAAAAAGAACACTTTTCCTCTTCTGTCTGCTACATGGGCACTTACTGCCCGGGTTCCTTTACATTTTCCTTTCGTGTGAGACACCACTCACACTGCTGAACTCCACTCCTGAGGACTGCACTGCACAGTGGGTAAGGTACTGTGAGCATGTTGTGTGTTTATCAGCTTTAAAATATCTAAGATGATTTCAGGATTAATGGTAGTATGAAAAAACCTGAAATACAGCCCAGCAAAGGGGCAGGGTGGGAGAACACCCCAGCCATCCTACCCATGGGAGGTGTAATCAGAAATAAATGCATCAACTCTAAATGGGTGTATCTCAGGGGGAAAGTCCCTTCAGGGTTTTATGATGATAAAAAGTGACCATGCTGGTCAGCTCAGGACATTATTACTTGTAATTCAGGGCAGTTGCAAAGTTCTCACCACAGCAGCTCTAGCTCTGGAGGGAATGGCTTCAGCAGATGTGAGACAGGAAAACTTGTTCACTGAGGCAAGGACCAAAAATTGGGCCAGTGCTTTAAGATGGAAAGCAAAGTAATATTTTCTAAAATACAGCTCTCTGGAGAAAAAAGGCAAAGAACAACAATTACCAGTCATATCATCTCCAATTGCTTTTTGCTTCTCAAAAATAACCCCTAAAACCGTACAGATTCACTGCTTCAAAATGTGTCCAAATTTTTTTTTTTTTTTTTACTTTGCCTTTTCCAGGTAACTCCAGATCCCTGCTTTACCAGGTCCTCAGACTCCACCATTTAAGACCCACAGGAAAGGACCCTGCATTTCCCCTGTTTTTCCACACACACAGGACACTGTGATGCTGAGGTGGTGGAGATGGGTGGTTGTAACTAAATTACCTGTCAGCAGTGTGAGTGCATTGCTGCCACCCCATCCTCTGGCTGGGAGATGCTGTCCTGGTAACAGCCCAGCCATGGGTGTTTGTTCCCTTTTCCCTGAGCACAGTATTCATTCTGGTACAGCTGGAAGGATGCAGAGAGCTCCCACACCAGCTGACTGCCCCTCCAGGAGACCTGTAATGGTAATATTTCTTCTAATGCCATCACTGCGCTTTCTGATACCACTCCTCATGCAAAAGCAAGGCCAGCAGTGCTGAAATACAAACAGATTTGTAGAGCTGAGACTACAGAAGATGAGATTCTGCACTGGAGCTGCAGGAAAGCACAATGCAACTGCGTTTGTCACACCTCTGGTTCCTCAAACAGGAAAAATTCAGTTGCACCAAGTCCATGGATGTTTGTTACCCATTCCTTTGCTTTACTAAAATGCTATTACAAATTAATACATTACTTTATCCTTTCTATTAAGGCCTCAGTTAAAAACCCAGTGGTTCTTTCAGCCAATGGCTTGGCTGGGCACTGCTGTGCCTCAGCCCTGTGACACCACAGCTCTGAACACAGTTCTGACCCCAGGAGCTCTCCCACCAAGGGTCAGACACAGCTCTGAGCTGCACTTCTTCCCCAAAGAACTGCAAGTGGGACTGGTGCCTTGGGTTTTAGCTTTTATATTTTTCAGATTCTCTGCTGCTTAGTGTGTTACTCTGAAACTTCATATTAGGTGTTGGTAAGTTCTCTTCACAGGGTAGTTAGACAAAATAATTCCTTTCTAGCTAGAGAATCAAGGACAACTGGTACCCAAAAGGGAAGGGGGCAATCCAGGGGGCTGGGACTTCATAGCCGGGGGCTGTGGTTGGATAATTGACCCCAATATGTAGATGAACCAAAATTTATACAAGTGTAAAACTCGTGATTGGGATCCATTTTAGATTTGATTTGGGTGTAGCCCTGGCCAGGCTCTTGCACTGCCCAAGGTGTATCCTTTCAATACATACCTGTTTTAGTCCTTTTAATCTATTTAGTCTCTGTTCCAGGTCAGCCTTTCCAGGCATCAGCTCAGTAGAGCCAGTCACTGTGGGTGACCAGCTGCTGCAGAGAGGGGTTGCATGTGGCAGCTGTGATCACTGGGCCTTTCCCCAGCTCCATCCCCACCAAGGCACACACAGGATAAAGATCCCAGACAAGCACATTTGCCCCTTTGAAAGGCAGCATTGCTCACGCTTCAGCTAAGAAGCTTTTTTTAAAATTTTACTTTAAAGCCCTTTTCTATCATGTCAAAAGTACAAAGGTCTTTTTCTTCTTTACCCTAAAATCCATCTAAATTTAGAGGGGTCTTTCATTATTATGGGCCAGCAAGAGAAGTATGCAAAGAATTTTTCTTCATGGACTTAAGGTCAGTAGCTCAGAAAGGATGTCTGCAGCTTCGATGTAAGATGTTGTTTTGATCCACTGGGCCTGAAAGGGAAGGTCAAGCTATATTTTGTAGCTATCCTTAATCTCAGAGGGCTCCCTTTCTTACAGTCATTTAGTCTCATTACAAACATAATTATTACTTAGTAAAAAAGATTCAATTATTTATACATATGAGACCAACAGCTCTAGCCAAAAGTTTTTATCCGTGTTTGGGAAGATCTGACCACTATATATAACAGATCAATAAAGTTTCCTCTTGTCAGAAAAGAACCAGTTATCACAGGCACATTGAAATTTGTTCCTAAAGCAGGTCTGATGTCTCTAAGCAACTGTGCCTGGCGAGCCTATAATATAAATTCACAGATATTTTATAATTATTTTCAGACAAAGTATTCCTGCATCTCAGTCCCTAAAGAATTAATTTCCTCCCAGCTGAAAACAAGAAACCTGTCATTTCTGGGTGCCTTGTGCTGCTGCTGCCCCTCCAGGGCAGCTCACTCGCCACGCTTCACCCCCGTGAGTCAGCGAGCTGCAATTCCTGCCGACACTCCCAGGGTATTTCTGGCTGAAAACAGTGATACTATTGCACAAAGGGCTTAGCTAAGGAGCAGCCGCTTGCCCAAGCGCATTCCTCGCAATTACAATTTCGAAACGGAGAGCTGCGATGGAGATGCCGCCCTGACCTCGCCGGGCTGTAAATCCCTCCCCTGCGGACTCTGACTGCTATAGCCCCAGGCTTTCCTCGCTGCTCCTCTGTGTACAGCCCAAATCCAGTGGCACAACTCATCTGCTCCCGAGAGGCATGGCCAAGGCAGGTCATCCATCTCCTGAAGAGCTGGGGATGGAGCTGCTCAGGACAACAGAGCTGGAGGCACATCCTTACCAGGACTGTGTGCATCCCCGTGTAGAGCCTGCTCAGACACACCAACGTCGAGAACACAAACGCTGCTGCCAGGCCGAGCTCAAATGGATACTGTGAAAAGGGGAAAGAAAATTAAATACACCCATTAAATACACCAGCTGGACTGACATAAGGGTCTTGTGCTGGGAAGAGGCTCCTGTACTTTCCTCAAGAGATTAATGTGACCTGAGACAAAGTCCTCAATCAACACACAGTCTGCTAGAAGGTCATTTCATTACCTGTGGTGCCTGCTTCTGGAAGATCTGGTCTCACTCTGGAGAAGTCTGGGAAATAGATGCTATTTGCAAAATTGTTCCCTACAATATCTGTCTGCAAAAACCATGTTAGTGTCAAAAAGCTTAAGGAAAAAGGCACAGCATGTTGTACAAGCCATGCCTGAGGTAGCACTGCAGTCTCAGCTCAGCCAGGGGGATTGTGACAGCTGCAGGGTCTGACCAGAAGTGATCAATAGTCCTCGAGCAGGGGGCTGAGTGGGGAGAATCAATGTCTGGGCTGAAACCACAATCCAGCTATTAGAGCAGTCAGGACTGCTCTTCCCCGTGACACTTAAAGGTTTAATCATCTTATGAAGCTGGCTTTGCTTAATACCCTCTCTGAGTAGCCTAAGTACATGGAAAGAAGCATTTAAATAAATCAACATTTAAAAAATTAAAAAACCCCACATTTGGTAAAGAATAAGCTTAACATATTAGCCCTTAATCCACTCATTCAAACTCTGAAACTGAGTGGGCTGCTGGGCTCCTCTCAGTCCATAAGGGAGATTTTTCTGTAAAAAATAAACCAACTCAAAATATAAATAAATAAATAAATGCAATTAATTCATCCAATTTGACACAAAGTCTCCATCTTCTGCCAGAGGCTGACGACTGACAAGGGCGACCACAGGTCAACACAAAAATGTTTTTGTGGAAATTCTAAGCATAACAGCTCTCCTCTGGCTCTTTCCCCTGGCATACTCCAGCCTCCTGAATAGAGAGCTCAGACCCAGCTGCAGATGTCTCTCCCAGTTCATAAAACACTATTTTTCCTCATTTCTCTAAGCCTTTGGAGCATTTACACCCACTTGACTCCTCCCTCAGCAGGCAGCCTGGGAGTTAGTCCAGATCAGTAATTGATGATTAGGGCATCTTGAGAAGATAGCAGCATAATGTACTGGGAGATTTTTCCATCTTAATAGAGGCAATTAAACCATTTAATTATTTGACAGCAGCTTTATTGTTTCAAGGCCGTTTCCAAGAAGCAGAGGACAGCCTGTGAAGAGCTGCATGTCCCACTGGTCACTAGTGGACTGAGCAGAAGGTGATACTGGCCAGGTCTTCTTGGCAGCTCTGACACATGGGATGGATCTGCCCTTCCAGGGCTGACAAATATGCTCTCTTATGGCTCCTTGTTCCCATCCCACTGTCAAGCTGCTGTGACCAGTTACCACACAGAGAGCAGGAGCCCTCCTGGTTACAACGTTTATGCCTTGAGAGGGCTGAGAAACATTCTTAAATACAACGCAGCCAGGAAGTGATTATTACTAGAGTACAGGAAATACTGGCTTGGAATCCATTAAATTGAATGAAAATAGTCATAATGGAGAAATGAGTTTCCAGGAAATAAACCTTTTAGGAAGATGAGGAGGAAAAATGATGAGACTTCCCCAAGCAGCCTACAGCTGCAGTGCAGTGAAGCTGACAAGCAGGCTTTCCAACCGTGTTGTGTGTGCTGTTAGTCTAACACAGGTTAGAGCCAGGGGATTTCCAAGGATGCTTTTCCTTTCATACAGAAGCCACATGACACAGAGCTCCTTTGGCTTCCCTGGGAGTCAGCATGTCCCAGTGTGCAGCACTGACTTGGTGGGAATGGGGTGAGCACAAAATGCTGGCAACCAGGCACCTTCCCTCCATGGTCACCCCACATGCAAAAACACAGCAAACCCACCAAACCACAGCAGGGCAGTGCAGCCTGCCAGCAGCTCTGAGAGGAGTCCATGCAAAAAAAAAAAAAAAAAGGACGTTGGCACTAAATTTCTTTTTGTGTCTATTATTGACCAGCTACAGGTAAGCACAGGGAAGAATACACATCTGTGAAAATAAATACTAAACTCCTCTGGAAGTAGCAGCACCTTTGGATTTGCAAACTTTATATGGCTTGCTGGAAGCAGACACAGGCTTTTCTTTTTTTTATCTATTTTCTTTTTCTTCTTCTGTTTTCTTTTGGTACCCCTACCTTGTACTGGTTCATGGTTGCAATGAAAAAGGAGAAGGAGATGGCTGTAGCTGCCATGGCGTGGGTGGAAGGCATCCCATACTCTGCATTCGTCCTCATCTCCAGCTTCACGACAGGTGGTGACAGGGGCCGAGGCCACTTCAGGATGTCCTTGGAGACCTGGCCTATGTACATCACTATCTGGGGACAGGAGAGGCCACAGGGCTGTCAGTCAGCACAGGCAATCCCCATGCAGCCCACCCAAGAACCACCTGCATTTCTGTGCTTTTTCCTGCAGAATCCACCCGTCCAAGTGGAGACTTATCCCCTTAATTATTAAAGGGGTTTCCATTAGCTCAGCCAGCAAAGGAAGTGGTGGTTTTGCTGCTCTGTGTGGTAACCTGAGCAGAAGAGGGCCCAAAAGGAGGATTGGCTGATGAGATTCAGCAATACAGGACAGTGTGAGACAGACAGCTGGCTCCCACCCCATGCCAGAGAAGTTTAAGTTTCCTCCCTATCCCTTACAACCCCTCTGCTGCAAAGAAAACAGCCATAAGCAAAATTTTTCCACCCCCACTTTTGAATCACTGCCTTTCCCAGCTGTGTCCAGCACCAGCTCCCCCATTCCCAGCAGCTCCCACCCCACCTAGTGCTGCAGGAGCCCTGCTGGGATGCACCACCCGTGTGGTTATTAAATGACAGCCTCGGCATCCTCGCAGAGGCAGCAGAGGGAAAACTGGACAAGCAGCATGAGGTACCAGTTCTCCTGCCCAGCTCCCCAGTAAAAGGCTTTTATTCCCTGCTTGGGTCACCAGAGGTTTAAGCGAGGGCTGCATTAATTAGCTCCTAACAGCAACACAGTACTTTCAGGGGCAATGTCACATTCTCAAGTCAGCAAGGGCAGTGCAATCCCAGTATCCCTGAGAGCTGCTGCCCATCCAGCCCTGCCCAGGGCATCCTTGGCTCCTTATTACCCTCTTCCCAAAGGCAGCAAGCTCTCAGCATCCACATCTGAGAAAAGTTAACCAGGCTGTCCCTGTAGGATGTATTTGCTTTCTGTTGTAACCCTCCTCCCTTTAGATAATGTAGCCACACATAGGTGGAGGAAGCTCTTTAAAACAAAGCCAAGTGAAATTTTTTTCTTTTTTTTTAATACAAAAATCAGGTTAACTGGTGTCTACCATAAAAGCTCAGTTGCTGTGTGAGACAGCTCTCTCTTCTGCTTCTCATGCTTCCACCAGCAAAGGAGGGGGCTTAAAATAACATCCTTCCCTTGCTACTGGTGTTGGCCATATGCTGGAACAGCAACACAATCACCCACTCCCACATTCGTCACCAGGCACATTGCGTCCCTCTCTCTCCCATCAGCCATTTAAAAAATGGTTTCACATTAAAAGAAAGATGGCAGAATTCAGGATTCACAAGTCAGGACCAGGAAAAGCCAGTCACATTCCTTCATCCTTCTCTCTACAGCAAAGCACACACCAGAGAGTGCTAGACTTACAGCCAGCACCAGGGCCTGGAAAAGTGACTGCAGGTGCCTTTGCAGCCTTTATCCCTCAGCATGTGAATCACTTTAGTGCCTTATTATCAGCAGCAGGTGGGACACACAGGGCCCAGGGAAGGCAGTGGATACCCTGCCCCAGACTGCTCACAGCAAACAACGGCTCAAGGAAAAAACATCTTTGAAAAACCTACTTTGTGGGTTTATTTAGTTAATGCCATCAGTTTCCAAATGGACCCAGGCACATGTTTGGAAGTTAATTAAATTCCAGGGTTGAAAGAAAAATTACTCTCTCAGGCAGAACATAAAACATTGAGGCTGCCATTTGTGATACCATCTGAGAGGCAAGGTAGGATGAGCCAGTTTATCAGCAGTCCTCTATAATAATGACTTCCACTTGTGGAAGTATTATTAGTACTAGAACGTAAGAGCATTGCAGAAAAGGAAATGAGTCATCCCAAAAATGAAGGCTATGCTAGGACTCCTGTGACGGGGAAAAACAGACTGAATGCTGGGGGTGGGATGGGTAAGTGAAAATACCAGGCATCCTCACAACACCCTCCCCTTCTTGGCCCCCCAAATTAAATTCTGGCCCTTCTACTTTTTTAGAAACACATTGCATAGATGGTAAGGAGAGGTGAGACCGTCATAAAACATGCAGGGGACTCCAGAACATGCTCAGACTAAGCAGTGATCTCTGAAGCACCAGACCTTTGCCTTCAGCTTATCTGGGTACCATGCACGTGACTTTACACACATTGTCCTGAATTCTGTGGCAGAAGCAGCGCTTGTGGGTGGGGTGAAACACCCCCAGCAGCTGGCAGGCTTCCCGAGACAATGATGGCAGGTGCACATTGCTAAATTGCCACCCCGCACAGGTGCTGCTGCTCTGTGTCACTGCTCTGTGTCACTGCTCTGTGTCACCTGCACCCCAGGTGCACAGCGCCTGGGGGAGCACGGCAATGCCCAGGGAATGCCAGGCTGCAGGGACACGGCACTGCCCAGGGAATGCCCAGGGAATGCCAGGCTGCAGGGACACGGCACTGCCCAGGGAATGCCCAGGGAATGCCAGGCTGCAGGGACACGGCACT